TTTATATACTTGTTTGGCACATTAACCTGTTCGCTGACGTCGGGGGGCTGGCACGAATTGGGGTGAGGTCTGGCGGGTCTTGACTCGGAAGACGGGCCATCTTTCTTCGCGGCACGCGTTAGGGTGGCCTGGTCAAGCGGGTCCTCGCTGTCACTGGGCCTGGGCGCGAGGGTTTGGCGGGCGTCGGGAGGCGACGAGGGGGGCGGGAAGAACGCCGGATGGAAATCAGACTCATCAGCCCAAGGGTCTGGTTCGTCTGGGCATTCAGGCTGTTCACGCTGCGTTTGCGTCGCAACTGGATCGGTTGAGTGGCTCGCAATCAAAATCCCCGAAGACTGCTGCATAGGGCTCTGCTCCCCAGGCCCCTACTCAAAACTGGCCTGCGAGTGCGACTGCTTCTCCAAGCAGTCCCCAGAGAGAGACGAGAGGAAGTTGCATCGGTTCTCGTAGGCCTCTTGCTGGGCCACGAGACGCTTAATTTTGGCTTCACTGCTTTTGGATCCCAGGGCAGGGGCAGCAGTCAGGCGAGTCACCTGAGGGAGCTTCGGGGGGTATCCAGCACTCGGGTGACGAGTTGGAGCCCCGAACTCCTCAGGGTCACATGGAGCCCGACATGCTGTCGCCACGGCGCATCCTTCACCTGACGTAGATCCTTTACACATGGGATGGCTGACTCAGCAAGCAACATGTAGTCGAGATGCGTATCCTCTTTCTTTTTTCTGCGCACACGTTCCGCCTCCAAGCGCAATGCGCACCTGGCCGCCAACCTCCGTTGCAAACTGGGAGGCCTGGAGGACTTCTGGCGGCGCGTTGAAGTCGCCCACGACGGCCCATGGCATCCTGGCCGGCTGGAGCATCGCGCCTAGACGGCCATGCCGCCGTCTGTTGACGCCGACCTTCTCGGTGGACGAGTGGCCGTGCATGAACACAAAAAGGATGCTGTAGCCAACCATGTGGAGCACGATGGGCAGGAAGCCGTCGAACGCGTCCGTGCCTGCTGCTGCAAGCTGTGCCCGCGCCGTTCTAGCTTCAGGTAGTAGCTGTGCTTGAAAACGCTTGCGGGCGAGGAACATCTCCCCGCCCTCGTTCGACTTGTGCTGCTTCGCCTTGGACGCCAGCTTGCCCGACGCCCTTGCTGGGTTCGCGTGCAATCTCCGCTTCTTCCCGCGGGCTTTGCTGTCCCGGCGCTGCAGCTCTTGAGCTTCGTGGACATGGGTTTCCAACACTCCCCACATTGAGTGTTTCGAACACTTGTCGAAGAGCTCTGTGATGTTCGCTACGGACACGTGGGTGTCCCCGTCGGCGGCCTCAGACTTGCGGGGTTGAGGCGCCCCCTGCGCCGTTTGTCGAGCTGCTGGGGAAGCCGAGGCCGCCGGCGCCGTGCTCGCTGGGCACCTGTCCTTGGCCTTGGAGAGCTTCTTGCCCTCCTCCGGTAGCTTTGCCCCATTGCCGACGTCGACGGGCTTCGTGTCGGTGGGCACGGCCTTGGCGGTGGCTTCCTCCAAGCGCTGGTTCTGGGAGTCGTCCGCCTTGGGGTTCGTCTTGGGGTCCACCCACATGCCTGTGTCCGTGTCAGACTTCCTTTTCTTCGCCATCCTCTCGGAGATGGACGCTTTGGACTGCTTGGCCTACTCGAGCCACTTGTGAATATGCTTGCCAAGGTTGTCTAAGGCAGACCTTGTCGCTTTGAGGTCCGCGTGTAGCTTCTCAAGGCTGCGGCGCTCCTCATCCGTGCACTCTAGTTCGGTGAGCTGGTAGAAGAAATCCTCGTTCCATACTAGCTTGAACATCGCTGCCTTGTCCATGTCGCCACGTGCTGTTGCCGCCTCCCCCTGCTCTCCCTCGGCCCGCGCCAAAGCGCGGGCTGCGGATGCCTTGGCCCCCCTTTGGCCTCGGCGAGCTTGAGGGCGGCGGTGGGCTCCTTGATCTGTGCTGCCTGAAGGTTGGCCTGCAGTCTGACCACCGACGCCGCCGCCTGCTCGTGCAGGTGCTCGGCGTGGCGGTGCGCACAGTCGGCCCTCTCGAGGCAGTCTACGAGGTTTGTGTCCGCCGTAGAAGTGGGCGTGCCCTCAATCCTCTGGACGGGCATCTGCAGCGTGCAGCGTTGTTCGTAGCCTCCAGGGCTTGCTGCAAGAGTGAGCGGATCGTTGGAGCACATTGGCTTTTGCCTTGGCCGCGAGCCTTGTCGCCACCTCTGCCGCGGCCCTGTGCGAAGGCGGGCGATGGGCTGCGTCTGCGTGACTTCAGGGTGCCGTTCGGGGTCTGCTCCGAGGTCGGGTACTCCAGAGCATCATGAAAGATCTCCCCCGTGCCTTGCGGCTGCAGCTCGTCGAAAGTAACTGCTCTGCGTCGGTGGTTCGTGCCAGGGCCACGATGCAGCGAGACCTGGCTGCCGCGCTGCTGGCACTGGCACTTGCGCTGCTGGAGAACTGTGTTCCACTCGCAACGGTTGCAGTTGGCACGACGGAACCATTGATTCGTCTTTCTAGTCCACTTCGCCATCATTAGCTTCGGTCGTGGTCGAACCTCACGAGCTGGCGTGCTCTGTGGAGGCAAGTCCGTCAAGCACTGCGTGGAAGTGCCGAGGCGCGCTGGGCTCTGTGCCAAAATGGCCTGAGCCCAAACGGTTGGTTGAGCCAACATTGCTACGGAGGCGGAGGGGGAGGAGGAGGAGGAGGAGGAAGAGGAGGCCAGTGCAAACCCAGGGACGCACAACGATGTGGCAAGTAACCTTCCCTCCAAGTTCCCTCTTCGGAGGTGCCCGCAAACATGCATTTTCATTGCGGGAAGTGGTCCATTAGAAGACAACCGTCTGATGATCCGCAATCGTGCCAAAGCAGCTTCCGTGAGACTTGAACGCAGCGCATCGACGTGACTGTCACGACTTGGCAGTTCTCAGTCGCGCCACAACACCGTTCGTGGGACTTCAACACCGCGAATCAGCATGACTGTAGCGTCTTGACATAGCTTAAACGTGCCACAACATGAGTCCGAGGACGTCACCCATACGAATCTTTCAATCCGCCGCAAACTGTTAAGATACATCTGCGCAACGCTACGGCGAGAACCACATTTTGAAGACGGGCCGCCCTCCATCCGTGAAGCTCCAGCGAATTAGTCAACACGACTCTGTGTGGCGCTCAGGCGAAAACCACATTTTGAAAACGGGCCGCCTTCCATCCGTTAAGCTCCAGCACATTTCTGAGACAAGAGTGCGCGGTGCTAATGCGAGAACCACATTTTGAAAACGGGCCGCCCTACATATGTGAAGCTCTTGCGATTTTTTTGTGCGAGTGTGCGCGGCGCTAAGGCGGAGGCCACAATTTGGAAACGGGCCGCTCTACGTCTGTCTTGCATTTGTTTAACGACTTTGCGCGGCGCTACGGCGAGGGCCGCATTCTGAAAACCTACCATCCTCCATCCGTGAAGCTCGCAAATTCTAGGCTTCAGGATCATGATTGGTGAGGAAGATTCATGCGAAACGCCTGGCCCACCCTTTCGACCGGCTTCGGGGTGCTGCAGGGAGGTTTTATCTATAAGGAGCAGGGATGGACGAGGAGGAGGAGGAGGAATAGGAGGAGGAATAGGAGGAGGAATATGATGAGGAATAGGAGGTGGAATAGGAGGAGGGAGGAGGACAAGGGGGAGGAGGAGGAGGACGATGAGGAGGATGGGGGGGGAGGGAGAGGAGGAGGAGGAGGCTGAGGAGGAGGAGAAGGAGGACGAAGACGAAGACGAAGACGAAGCATACTACTAATCAGAAACACATTCCAATCATATAACCATACTGCGAATATCAATGATAAAACGAATATGAGGAATCATAACAATCATATTATCAATAAGAGCAGTCATCATACTAAGGCGAAACACATACTACTATGACGACGAAGAATGGCAATACTAATATTGACACGAATAGTATTAATCATACTCATACTAATAATCACACGATTCATAATGCGAATAAGCATAATAATCATCATCGTAATAGAGTAATAGAAGTATGAATAATGAGTATACTATACTAATAGTAAGAAGCATACGACGAGTAATACTACGAATAATAATTTGACGACTAAACATATTAACAATACTAAGACACATACGAACACGACTACTATTACTAGTACTATTATGACTAATACTGATGAGCTAGCAACCAGAAAAGGAAACACACCAATACTAACGATACGACTAATAATTCAATAAAAATGCTAAGGCGAATAAGACAAATACGACTAATACTACTAATAATGAGAATGACAATTTCAATCATAGTATTATTAAGAAGAAAATGAAGAACAAGACTAATAAGAATAATACGAATAATAAACATAAGAAGAAGAGGAAGAGGAGGAGGAGGAGGAGGAGGAGGAGGAGGAGGGGGAGGAATGGGTCTCTGGAGGTCCCTTGAGGCCCAGGAGGGGTCAAGCGGCGCCCCAAATCCTGGAGGAGTAGGTCTCTGGGGGTCTCTGGAGGCCCAGGGAGGGCCGAGCGCCGCATCTCCATCTTCGCGGCAGAGACGCCCCGCCGGCGCGCTGGAGCGCAGGGAGAGGGGCGCGCCCCGGGCAGGACATCGCAGGCGATTGCTCGCCCCAGCTCCCCGAGTTCTCTTCCCTCCCCTCCCCGTTGCAAAAGGTACACGCCGGTCGTTGAAAGTAGGTTTTTTTGGACTCCCAGATCCCAATCTATTTTAGGCGCCTTCCTACTTCAAGGGCCTTCTTCCCTTCTCTTCAGGTGGGCGGGCGGAAGCCCAATCTACTCCCAACGCCGTCCTGCCTCATGTTTCTGCCTACTTTTTCCGACTGGCGTGTGCTGCTGAGAAACAGAACGGAACTCGGGGATACACCCTCATGGGCGGGGCTATTTGGACGCACCGCTATTCGAGGATGGATGCTCCCTCCCTCTCCTTCTCGTATCTCCCCTGGGCTGGGCTCCAAATCGTCTACCCAATCGACATTCCCCCATAAGTCGGGTACCGCCATACCCCCCGGTAGGACATCACGGAGCTGCGCTCGGAGTCCAAGATGCTGGCCAACTATGTCCGGATCTGCGGCGCCGCGGTCTGGTCGCTGCGGGGCAACGCGAAGACTGGGGCGGTGACAGACAGGAAGACCCAGGAGGGCCGGCGAAGACGTTGATGCCGCTGCTCGTTTTGGAGAGCTCTCGTTGCCACGGCCTGGTTCGCTCGGGAATCCTGCGGTACCTTCTGACCTGCCCCAATCCCCGCAGTGCACTTGGCCACGGCATCTCAGCCCCACCAGCCGACCCTTCTGCGTGGGGATGGGCCCCGCGAGATCTGAAGGCACCGGCATCTCCGCTCCGCGGGCTTCGGGCCCGCGGCCCCCCCCCTCCTCCCAGACGGGATGGGTTCCAGGGCTCCGCGGGCGGGCCACCCCCAAGATGGGACGACGACGACGACGACGACGGCGACGGCGGCGGCGACGACGACGACGACGACGGCGACGGCGACGGCGACGGAGACGGCGGTGCTGGCGGCGACGGCGACGGCGGCGGCGACGGCGACGGCGACGACGGCCGTTCACCCCACGCGGCACGAGCCCCGAACAGCAGACCCCCACGAGGGTTCCACAGCAGAACCACCCCCACAACCGCAAGGGGGTGGGGGTGGGGGACCACCAGGGAATCGGCGATGCCGGCAGGGCAAGGGATCGATGAAACGATGCTCAAAGGAGTAATTTGCATCGATGCCTTTCTGGGCGGTCGTTTGTGTCATTCATTGTTTTGCCAATCGGCGCGGGCCCTCGCACCCCCCCTTTCCCCCCCATGGAGTGGATCTTGGCTGTTTTTGGACTCTGTTTTCGGGCCGGTGGAGTCTCCTCCACAGGACGCCCCGTCGCAAGCAGTCGCACTAAGTAAGCAGACGTCCGGAGCCAGAGCCCCCCCCTACCCCCCTCCTCCCGCCCAATGTCGAAACGCCGAATAAGAAAGCGCTCACTTGCCCCCCCCCCAGTCGCGGCCAGCGGCCTTCCCCTGTCCCGGCCCCCAGGGGACCTCGCGGACCGCCCCGTCTGCCCAGCGGTGGGGCGGAGAGGCGGGGCCGAGGGTTCCCGCTGGTGCTTCCTGGCGCGGCAGTGTGGGCCCTTTGGCGACATCAGATCCCGGGGTCCCCCTGGCGTCACGGTATAGTCAGCTGAATCTGCAAACTCTCGCCCTGCTCAGAGTTTTGGGAGAGTGCCTGGAGCCTGGAGGAGGAGGAGGAGGAGGAGGAGGAGGAGGAGGAGGAGGAGGAGGAAGAGGAGGAGGAGGAGGAGGAGGAGGAGGAGGAAGATGAGGAGGAGGAGGAGGAGGAGGAGGAGGAGGAGGAGGAGGAGGAGGAAGAGGAGGAGGAGGAGGAGGAGGAGGAAGAGGGGGGACGGGGAGGAGGTGGGACCAGGAGCAGACGGAGGAGGAACGGAACCTGGTTTGCGAAACTGGTGATGGATGCTGGGGTGGGTGGGACGGGGCCATCAATTCCACCAGTCAGGAGATAGAGCATTTGATCTCGGAGCAGGCAGAGATTCCTCTGGCGGACCCGAGGATGGTACTCTGGCGGGCTTCCTTTATTTCGATACTGAAGACAATGTGTCAGAGTTACTGGTCGCGCAGAGAGGAGGAGAAGGAAAAAGGACACAAAGTTCTTAGCAGTAGTTCCACTTTCAAAACAGACTTCGCGTACGAATTCTCCTTCGAGGCGCCGAACGGCGGTGTGAAGTGGTACAGAGTCCAGGGCCACCTCGCGCAGGAGTTGGTGAGGGGCAGCCAGTTCGAGATCTCTGGCTCCATGCAGGAGGTTACGACCATGCTCATCGATAAGGTGGAAGGCCAGCGGTGGCAGAAGTGGTGGAACCGCATGTGTCACATGGTTTTCGATGCGACCCTGCTGGTCGACACGCAGGAGTACCGAGTGCTCAATGCGTGGGGTGAGGAGAAGGTCTTCGGATGCCAACTGCAGAACCACCACCCACTCCTGCAGATCATCAGACCAGACGACGTCGTCTCTCTGAAGGAGGCGTTCAACGAGGTGACCTTCAAGGGCTTCGAGCGCGGCCGCATCCTGCACCTGCGGCGGCCTGGCTCCAGCCAGGACATGGCCTCCCAGTGCTTCCTGCTCTCCGCGGACCAGGATCAAGGGAGGACAAACCACCCGGACCCGATAATGGGCGTTTGCTAGACGGCCCTGGGCGTTTGCCAAACAGCTCTGCCCTGTCCGATTCCTTCTTTGGGTGCGTTTGCTAGACGGCTTCGCGTGTCGGGGTGATTATCGCGAGGGTGGATCTTCTGCTCTCTGCAGGAGAACCCGAACGAGTGCATGATGGGCATCCGGATGCAGGCCGCGGACCGGGGCTCGGACCACGGCGTCAGCGTGTTGTGGGACGTGGCGAAGCCGCACCCCGTGCTGACACTGGAGGACCTCTAGCCTCTTAGATGGGGTCGGAGCAGATGGGGTCGGAGGACCGCGCCGCATCGCCGATGCATCGGCGATGCGGCTCGCTGTGGAGCCCGAGTTTTTCCGCGCCGATGTCGCCGGTGCATCACCGACGTTGCTGGTGCATCGCCGATGCATCGCCGATGCATCGGCGATGCGATGCGATCCTCCGACCACACCTACTCCGAATCCATCTAGGAGGCCTCTAGGACCTGGCCCGCCTCAAGTCCGGCCTCAAGCGGTCGCACCGGCGCCCGGCCGTGGTCCGGCGGCAGAGCTCGCAGCGGATGCCGGGCGAGGTGCTCTCGTCGTCCAAGTCGCTCACGAGCATCCCAGAGGACTCGGGCGGGACGGAGGGTGGGGCGGGGAATCAGGAGAGGGGGGGGGGGGGCAAGCTGGGTGCGCTCGCGCCATATCCGACACTCTATACTTACCTCACATCCCTTCCCATTGCGCGGGTTTTTCTGGCTGCGGACGTGCGTAGAGCCCATCGTGTTATGCGCAGCCAGAAAAGGGGAGCTGCGCACACAGGAGGAGGTGGCGGGTGGGCAGGAGGACAAGGTGGACGATAAAGAAGGAGGACGAGGACGAGCAGCAGCAGCAGGAATGAACCGGCATGGGAGGAGCAGGAGGGCCAGAGGAAGGTGGATGAGGGGAAATGATCAGGAGGGGAAAAACGCACAGACACAATTAATCGTCGACCCCCAAGAAAAATTGGAAAATATGGGAATTGGGCGGTAAGGCAAAACCCAGAAAATATGGGAAATATGGGGAATCCTTTTTTTGTGCTTATTTATTTGTGTGTCCTTGGGCCCCTTGAAATGAGGGGGGCGACAACCAAGAAAACGGAGTCGGAGCCAGAACAGAGGTCCGCTCTGGGGCGCGAGCGCCATTCTGAACGACGGGGGCAAAACGCCGGTCCGAAAATATGGCCCAGGCTGCAGCGGGAGCATCACGTTGAATCACCGGCTGCAGCTGGATTGTAAACTGCCAGAAGAAGAACAACAATGTTTGAAATTCTGTGTGTGAAAGGGCAGTGCGCGGATGGGGCCAGGGATCTTGCAGGCAGAGTCGGGGGAGAAGAGACTAGTACAGTCAAGTCGCATAGCAAGGATTAGCAATTTTTCAAAGCTACCCTGTCATTCTTGCCCCTTCGGTCCATCCTTGGCGACTTTGGCCCTACACGGCCCTTGCAACCTTCACGCGCATCCTTATCAAATGGCCGTCGGCCCATCCCGCCACGGTGCCTAGGTTGTGGGTCGTAAACCTCTGGGATGTTCGTTTGGATGTCGCGGGGGGCCTCTCGGGGGCCCCTTGGGGGTCGTTTTGATGCCTCTTGGGGGCCGTTTCGGGGCCTTTGGGAGCGTCTTCAGGGCTTCTTGGCGGTCTCTTGGGGTCCTCTTGGGGGCCTCTTGGGCCTCCTTTGGGGCCTCATGGGTCTCTTGGAACAGAAGACTCGGATTTTCGGTTCGTGCTCCCCCTCTTGGGCTCCTCTACAGGCTGTCCTTGGGCCCTCTTGGGCCGACTCGGGAGTCTTTTGGGCCGTCTTGGCGCCCTCTTGGGCCGTGTTGGGGCCCTCCTTTTGGGCCGTCTTGGAGAGTCGGGAGCTTGAAAAGTCGAGGGCCCCAAATTCGTTTAAAAACCTATGGACAATCAACGAGTTTGGCCTCGCGGGGCCCTCTTGGGAAGGTTTTGGGGCTCTTTGGGGGCGTCTCGGAGGCCTCTTTGGTCGTTTTGTGACCATCTTGGGCGTCTTGGTGCGAGATTTGGGCATCGGAGCCCTCTTGAACCATCTTGGTGGCCTTTGTGGGCCCTCTTGGCCCGTCTTGGGGCCTCTTTGGGAAAGTGCGCCAGTGGATCTCCTTGAATGCACTAAAGGGGGGGGGTCCAGAACCCCCCCCCCTCCCCCCCTTCAGGGGGGGGGGGTCTGGACCCCCCCCCCTCCCCCCCTCTCCCCCTTGGCGCTGGAAGGGGGGGGGGTCGGACCCCCCCCCCTCGTGTACGGAGTACGGAGTTGGGAGTAGGGAGTGGTGAGTAGTGAGTAGTGAGTTAGTGCGTAGTGAGTAGTGAGAATTGGGTAGTGAGTAGTGTGTAGTGAGTGGCGAGTAGGGAGTAGGGAGTGAGTGGGGAGTAGTGAGTAGTGAATAGTGAGTAGTGTGTATTGATAAGTGAGTAGTGAGTGGCAAGTAGTGAGTAGTGAATAGTGAGTAGTGAGTAGCGAGTAGCAAGTAGTGAGTACTGAGTAGGAGTAGGGAGTAATGAGTAGTGGGTAGTGAGTAGTGGGTAGTGAGTAGTGGGTGGCGAGTAGTGAATAATGAGAAGTGAGTAGTGGGCAGTGCGTAGTGCGTAGTGAGTGATGAGTAGTGAGTAGTGGGTAGTGAGTAGTGAGTAGTGCGTAGTGAGTAGTGAGTAGTGAGTAGTGAGTAGTGAGTAGTGAGTAGTGAGTACTGAGTAGTACGTAGTGCGTAGTGAGTAGTGAGTAGTGAGTAATGATGAATAGAGAGTAGTGGGTAGTGGCAGTGGGTAGTGAGAAGTGAGTAGCGAGTAGGGAGTAGCGAATGGTGAGTAGTGAGGAGCGAGTAGGGCGTAGTGAGTAGTGAGTAGCGAGTAGAGCGTAGTCAGTAGTGAGTAGTGGGTAGTGATTAGTGAGTAACGAGCAGGGAGTAGCGAGTAGTGAGTAGTGAGTAGTGAGTAGTGAGTAGGGAGTAGGGAGTAGTGAGCAGTGAGTAGTAGGAAGTGGGTAGCGAATCGTGGGTAGTGAGTAGCGATTAGTGAGTAGTGGGTAGTGGGAAGTGACTAGAAACTAGTGAGTTGTGATTAGTGACTAGAGACTATGTAGTGACTAGTGAGTAGGGAGTAGTAAGTAGTGAGTAGTGAATAGTGAGTAGCGGGGAGTGGGTAGTGAGTATTGAGTAGCGAGTATGGGAGTAGCGAGTAGTGCGTACTGAGCACTGTGTAGTCAGTATTGTGTAGGGAGTAGGGAGTAGCGAGTAGCGAGTAGTGGGTAGTGAGTAGTGATTTGTGGACAATGAGTAGTTAGTAGTGAGTAGTGAGTATTGTATAGTGGATAGTGGGTAATGAGTAGTGGTTAGTGAGTAGTGAGTAGTGAGTAGTGCTTAGTGAGTAGTGAGGTTTGAGTAGTGGGTTGTGAGAAGTGAGTAGGGAGGAGGGAGTAGTGAGTAGTGCGTAGTGAGTAGCGAGTAGTGGGTGGTGGGTAGTGAGTAGTGGATATAGTGAGTAGTGAGTCGTGAGTAGTGAGTAGGGGGGGGGGGGGTGAGAAGTGAGTGAGAAGTGAGTAGCGATAGCGAGTAGTAGTAGTGAGTAGTGAGTACTCTTTGGGGCTGGGGTTAGTGGTTGGGGTCAGGATTAGGGGTTTGGGTTAGGGTGAGGACTAGGGGTAGGGGTGGCGGGGGTCGGGTTCCGGAGTCAGGGGGCGGCGTGGCGAAAGGGGGGGAGGGGGGGGGGTCGGACCCCCCCCCCCCCTTTTGAAAGGGGGGAGGGGGGGGGAGGGTCCCCGACGACGGATCGGGGAAAGGGGGGGGGGGGGGGTCCCCGACGACGGATCGGGGAGGGGGGGAGGGGGGGGGTCCCCGACGACGGATCGGGGAAGGGGGGGGGGGTCCTAACCCCCCCCCCTTGGGGAGATCCAGCGGCGCATCCTCCGTCTTTGGGTGCGACAAAGTCATGCGAGAAAACGCCCCCAAACCTGGGGGAACCGCGCCAAGCCCAAGCCCAAGGATTTGAGAATTGTGGGCCCGGGCCTTTTAAAGGCTCCTCAGGAGTGAGGACTCAGGCTTCAGGCATGAGGCAAAGGATCTGAGGACACGCCCACTCCGTGCCCAGCGGCATGGTGGCGGATTATGCGCCCTGGTTTTATTCGCAATGTGCAATTGAGTAGGACCTCTGCTGCACGCATCTGGTTTAGGCCCCGCATAGCTGGTCTCGATACACTGGCGCCTCTGGCGCTGGGAGGCGCCAAGACAAATCGGCTACGTGAGTCGATTCGCTGCCCGCTCTCTACCAGCTGCCCTCAGGGGCGCGACGATGCTCGGGCCTCGCGCAGCACGGCCTGGGTCGGCGAGGCGCCCTCTGCCAACGTGGTCCCGCGAGGGCGGGGAGGTATACAGTCGCGCCTCGCGCACCGGGCGGCGCGGTGCGCGAGGTTAGGCGGCCTAGTTCTACTGCCACCCAACTCCTCCTCCTCCTCCTCCTCCTCCTCCTTTTCTTTCTCCTCCTCCTCCTCCTCCCCCTCTTCCGCCTCCTCCTCCTCCTCCTCCTCGTCCTCCTCCTCCTTCCCCTCCCCCTTCTCCTCCTCCTCCTCCTCCTCCTCCTCCTCCTCCTCCTCCTCCTCCTCCTCCTCCTCCCCCAAAACTCAGAGGACCACAACGGCGAGTTCGAGGACGACTCGGAGGCGGTCGACTCGGAGGCCAACGCTGAGATGGACGACTCCGAGGCGGCCGCAGACTCCGAGGCGGAGGACCGCACCACCGAAGAGGGAGAGAGAGAGAGGGGGGGTGCTCGGAGCCAGCTCTGCCAGGGGATCGATCGGGCACCCAGGCAGGGCTCGCTTCGATTCCTCCGATTCGACCCGATTCGACTTCGATAGTTTCCGATTCCGATTCGACTCGACTTGGGATTCCGATTTCGGCTCCGATGTCATGATCGAGGCCTACTGGCCTGCCGATTTCCGCCGATTCGAATTTTCCCGACTCGGCTGCCGATTTCCTCCGATCCGACGGATATCGATCGCCGATCCGACGTGTCGATTCGATTTCGGGGCTCTCCTGCCAAGGAATCGGAGGCCTAGAGGTTGACACCAACACCGGTATTGGCGGTGTGCCTCCACTGAGGGAAGATGATCCCGATCTCGGTGATGGTGGTAGCATTCGGGCTTTCTAGGTGGCCGAGAAAACACCACCACCACCACCAACAGCTAGGATCATCTTGCCCCAGTGGACGCGATACCCTGTGTTGCTCTTGGTGCTCATTTCCAAGCCTCCAGAAGGCCACAGACAGGTCGTGTGCCACAAGCTCTCACGCGTTCTTCTTTTTCCATCTAGGGCGCCTGGCGGCGTGACACTTTCGCACCCTTCAGTATTAGGACGCAACTCCTGCGAGGTTACATTATTTCTCGGCCCTGGTATTTTCTTTTGTGCCCATCTGGCCTAGCCCAGCTCAGGCTGGCCTGCATCGGGCTGATCTGGTTGAGTCTGGCACCGCTGCTGGTCATCGCGTGCACTGAAACTTTTTATGACTGCACATGGTGTAAAAGTACGCGCGCGGACCCCTCCTTGAACGCGCGCGATATCACACTTACTTGTCTGCCTTTGCTTGACGGACACTCGCTGTAGCCACGTCAAACTGAATGATCAAGCCTACCGAGGATATGTACCCATCGATGAAACTAGAACACGACAATTCACCGATCACAATGTCAGAATATTCAAATCCTCTTGCGAATATCTGGTTGACTTGGCAAATCAGCCACGCCGGGATGTTCCCTCTAGAATGTCAATCGACGTGCTCGTGACTCATCTGCCCAGCGAAGACCCTTAGAGTGTCATCGCATCGGGTATGTTTGACTCAATCCTGGCCCCATCAGTGGACCCGAGAGAGGGGACGCGAACACCCGAGATGTTGGTATTGATCGAGAATTCTTCGCATGATTTGAGTCGCGGATAAGTGCATTGAAATCATCATTAAAAGGAGAGTCGCGCGACATAGCTGAGCGACAGACACGGCATGCTGGGGGAACTGCCGGTTTCACCAGAAGTTCCAATGATGCTCGACCGAACATGGCAGACGAACGGGACGGCGAACCAGGGGGTGTTTCAACCATTCCCCAGGTATTTCGTCGCCCATCGCTTCAGATAGCAGAGCATATTGGAATCTCCCAGTCTCCGGTTGACATGTTGAGCCTTCGTGAACCCGATTTGCCAGAACATTCACGGGGTCACACTCGGCAAACGCTGTTCCCAAAACTATCAAAGGGGCGGTCGGAGATGAGTCTGGAATTGGATGAGTTACTGATGCAGATTTCTGGTTTAGCCAGGAGTCCTGCAGCGGTGTCTCACTATCCCATTATTCGCGAGACTGAGGGAGCGGACGAAGAATTCCGTGACTTGATGGATTAAATCCATCAAAAACAAGAGACCGAAAATAGAATGGATCGTCGAGGGGGGAGGATTGACGCGAACCTCATGATGCACCCACCGGCATCCCCCATTCTGATGAGACGTGCGAAGCTCGGGCCGCCCATGATCGGCCGCACTAGGTCTAGGAGCAGTCGTGGCTTTATCAGCCTTTCTGGGCAATGTTCTTCCAGTAGACATTCGATCCTGGTGAGCTGCTGGGCCCGGGGGCCAGGGACCGAATTGCCCATTGACGGCGGAGAATCGCTGCCCAGGAAGAACGGGAAAGGGGAACGTAAACATTGTGGTGCCAGCTGGCTTTCCCCAGATTGCTTCGATTAGCAAGAACACAACTGCCACTACATAGCCGTTCTTGCTTGGCAGGAAAAGAACAAGAAAGGCTGCTGCTGCGAGAGAGTCCTCAACGAACACGTAGTCGCTCATGTGAAGACATGATTGTTCGACAGAAAAATCGAACAGCTACAACATATGCCAAGAGATAGAGAGTTCTTGATGTTGATCACACAGCAGGCGCAACCGAGTCAGCAAGCAATATCAGAAGCAGCTGAGCTACGGCTGGACGTGGCTGAAGGAGCTAGTCAGGTCGTTGTGTGGACGATCTTGATCGTTCTCTGGCTGGGCGGGAAAAGCGGAGGGAACAGCGCAAGCATGTGTGTTTCTCCCCCCCCAAGCTGTTTATGCTGGATGGGGTCACAATCGGGGAAGGGATGACTAACCTTGCGACGGGGCTTCCCGATCTCAGCCCCCTAGCTCTTCAACGCGAATCCATCCCCCTAACACTTCCGACAGCACGCGACCTAGAGGGAGGTGCAAGTATGATTCCACGCGCAGTAGGGAGAAACAGGTTGGGGCCGTCTTTTCTTGCTGAGGCGGTCGCGCTGGAGGATTGTAAATCGCGTGTCCGAGGATAGCCCGAGTCTAAGTCACGGACACCAAGTAGGGAGCATTGACTGACCTTGAACGTGCTGTGTGTGTATGTGTTCATCTTCCAGCGGTAGAGGCGCCCTGTGCTGCGCCAGACGCGTCTTCTCAGTTCTCCTGACGTCGTGGCCCCCAGAGTTCTCGATCTCTTTTTCGAGGAGTTGTTTCTTGTTCCGGGCTGTTTCGGACAGCCGTGGGCCCGACAGCTGTTTTCCAAGACGCTGGAGGTCTTGCTGTTCT